TCTCTCTCTGTCTCTCTCTGTCTCTCTCTGTTTCTCTCTATCCCCTTTCATGTTCTCACTCTAGTTGAATATGATAAAAACAACATGCCTGTGCAATAATATTTTGTTTTTAATATACTTGTTATCACGATGTTGAAAGTCTGCCATCTTCGAATTGTTAATATAAATGTTTGTAACATGTGTTGGAGAGGGCTTCATATAAGTTTAATAACTTGTGCCCAATCCTTTTGTATCAATAAAATATGTTTAAACTAATCCAGTGTGTTTGTGCGATGGAGCGAGGTCCATTTACAGATTTGGGAGATGATGTGACTTTTTCAAGGTTTCGGTTTTGCAGGGAAACTATTCTCTTTTTTGATACATTGTGTCACTTTTCTTATTAGTGGAAACACGGAGGAGCCATCCAATTAAATCTCTAATACAGGTTATTGTAACTTTGCGTTACCTTGCTGCTGGAACATTTCAATCCTTGCTGGCAGATGTTTGCGGTATTTCCGTCCAATCGTGTGGACGGTGTATCACAGGAGTGTGTAACGCACTGGCTCGTTTCGCTCCAACCTTTGTTAAAATGAATCCACGAAAGCGAACTTTTACCGGGTGTCAAGTAAGTAGATACAAAGCTTGATCTGTCAATGTTAATTAGACGCTGCATACGAAGTGCTAATAAAATCCTGATAAAAAGGGGCACCGAGGCTGTGGTACCCGTTCAAGTCGGTACCTAAAATATAGTTGTCATTTGAACAAATGTTTCAACCCCGTAATGTTTAATCATTAAACTGTTACCAGATGCAGTGTACAGTCGATATGTATGCAATTTAGGTAACAGATAAATAGAATGTCGCCCGTTTATGCTTATATTTACATTTATATAGTTTGTTTTGTATAGTAACTGAAGCAAAAATACGTTTGAATTTCCCGCTTATCATATCAGTGACGTCAACAAGTTCCAGAAGAAATAATATAGTTCCTCGTGTCATTGCAAACCACGAGCACATACGATGGTTTGAACACAAACTTAACTTTATTATTTATTTCATAAGAGTGTGTATATGTTAAAAAATTGTAAATAATTGCATAACGTTTGCTTGTTTAAAATTAAAGCTGTTTTTCGCGCATTGATAGATTACATGTATTTGGAAGTGATGCGGCGCTGAACGGACTTGATGCGTATGTGTTCCATCGACTGGAATACTACGTTATTTTCAGAAGCATATATACTCGGAATTTTTTAATCAAAGTGGTCCTTTCAGTAAGTGATAACGATTCCATGGACATTTCTTTGGAAACAGATTCCATGTCTAATCGGTCAGATTAGCATCGCTAGCAGACGACGTTCACAGGGGCTCGGTTTCGTGATTTTGAAGAACCACAAACTGAAGAACCACAAACATTAAAAAGGTATTTATACACATTCTAAAACCTTGCTGATACCCTCGACTTTTACAAGGTTTTATGAATCTCAGCTGAGTTCAACTTAAAGATTTGAGTTTGAGAATTGAGAAAATGTTTACGATACCGACCCCAGGTATAGAAATAACGTCTGGTATTATAACAGGTATTATTACAGAAACAACGTCTGGTATTATAATAGAAAAAAAAGTTTGGTATTATAAAAGAAACAAAACATCTATAGTTATAATAGAAACAATGTCAGATATTATAACGGAAACACCATCTGGAATTTTTACAGGAGCAACATCTCGTATTATAACTGAAACAACGTCTGGTATTAAAAGAAAATAAAGTTTGGTATTATAACAGAAACAACATCTGGTATTATAACAGGAACAGCGTCTGGTATTATAACAGAAACAGCGTCTGGTATTATAACAGAAACAACATCATGTTTTATAACAGAAAAAAAGTTTGGTATTAAAACAGAAACAACATCTATAGTTATAACAGAAACATTGTCTGACATTATAACGAAAAAAACATCTGGTATTTTAACAGAAACAACGTCTGATATTATAACAGAAACAATGTCTGGTATTAACACAAAAACAAAGTTTGGTTTTATAACAGAAACAACGTCTTGTTTTATAACAGAAACAACGTCTGGTATTATAACAGAAACAGCACGATGTATTATAACATAAACAGCACAGTGTATTATAACTGAAACAGCACAGTGTATTATAACAGAAACAGCACAGTGCATTATAGCAGATACAGCATAGTGTTTTATAACAGAAACAACGTCTGGTATTAAAACAGAAACATCATCTGGTATTATAACAGAAACAATTTTTGGTATTATAACAGAAACAACGTCTGGTATTATAACAGAAACAACGTCTGGTATTATAACAGAAACAACGTCTTGTATTATAACAGAAACATCGTCTGGTATTATAACAGAAACAACGTCTTGTTTTATAACAGAAACAATATCTGGTATTACAACAGGAACAACGTCGGGTATTATAACAGAAACAACGTCTTGTTTTATAACAGAAACAACGTCTAGTATTATAACAGAAACAACGTCTTGTATTATAACAGAAACAGCACAGTGTATTGTAACAGAAACAACGTCTGATATTATAACAGAAACGGCGTCGGGTATTATAACAGAAACAGCACAGTGTATTGTAACAGAAACAACGTCTGATATTATAACAGAAACGGCGTCGGGTATTATAACAGAAACAGCACAGTGTATTATAACAGAAACAGCACAGTG